GAACAGGTTCATATTTTCATATTCCCAGAGATCGTCACTTAGAATACGATACGTCGCGGGGGCGCGCCAAAATGCACTTGGAATATGATAGGGTTTCGGTGCAATGAGAAAAGGTTCCATATTCCAAGTGCAAGACCGTCACTATAATGGTTTCCCCAACTACACCTACATCGGCATACCCTGCCTCCTTGAGCATGGCCTGCCACACTAAAAGCCTCTTTGGTTGCAAGATCCTTTGCCTTTCCTTTGACATGCCATCCTTGATCTTGGCCTCGTCGTCTTTCAGATCATGTGCAATTTTAAGCCACTTAGCGAAAAACTCTGCCCTGGCCTTTGCAATTTTTCCTGGGTCGATTTTCTTGTGCTGCAATATGGCATCCCTGAGCACCTGTGGGATTGCCGCTTCCAACGTGCGTGGGTGTCCAGACTCCAAAGCTTTGGTGAGGAACCCCAAATGACTTCATTGAAGGCTACACCCCCTTTATCCGGTAGTGCATGGACTTTGAGGAGCTGGCTGTCCACTGGCAGTTCAGACAGGTCGGCAGACGCAATGAGGGGTACGGGCCACGGCTCTTTGATGCGCCTGCGGATCTGCACAGGTAACTGTGTGGATGTTGGCAGGCACAACCGAACAACATGCTTGTGTTCAGGTACTAGCATGGGGGTTTTGGAGGCTTTAGGCTGAGGTGCAACAGCAGACTGGATTGCATGCAAGGGCAGAGCGATAGCGGCAACGCCCGGCTTACAGATTTTGGCAAAGACATGTGCAATCTCTTTGCAGAGAGCCCTGGGATAGGCAGACTCGGCTGAAGTCGCGAAACCATTTGAGGTATGCAGAATGCCCCCACGCTAAATGCGTTGCCCGGCAAGCGGTACCTGGACAGACACGACTTATCGCGGCGAAATCTGCATGTTGTGAAGAAAAGGCCAACGCAGTCCATTTGTCTCTGCGGTGAAGCTGAAGAGATGCTTGATGCGCAGAAAGGCACTGGTACGCCAGTAAAGGGATCGACGCGGGTTTTCAATAACCAGGACTAAACCCCTAGAGGCGCCTACGAGGGCTAGGGAGGAGATTGCATGACACAAAGCATTGGCTTTGTCAACTCGCAGTTGGTCACCGGGCGAAAGACTTGCCAAGCCATCTGGCTCTCTTCGGACCTGAGAGGATTTGGGCCTTGAACAGAGGCAATTTCCCTCGCTCTGCTGGCCGTTCCGCAGACGGGGGCGGCAAAGAACCCTGCGCACCGCGGGTGAAGGAGGAGTCTTTTTGCCAGGGCGAAGCCGTGCTCAGAACATAGATCCGCGATCTGAATGGCCGATTTGGCTCCAGGGATTTTTCTGTGGTCAAAGGCGACGGCATCAAAGTTGAGCTCTATCAGGGCAGCCGACAGGCCGGCCGTTCCGGCACAGAGTTCCAGAACAGGCGGTTTACCGCTGTGTCCAGAGGGAGTGGACATAAGGGCTTCAGTGTCAGACACGGTCGGGCAGGGCGCATGTGTCGACGTTGACGCATGAAGATCACCTGTCGCAAGATCGGGCTGAAATCCCAACTGGGCAAGTTGATTGGCATGCGCAGGAGATAAATTACACAGATTTTGCAGGCAATATGATATCAGCACAATACGCGAGCCAGACCAAGGTTCGGTGGCACGCAACGCTTTATACGCTGGCAAGCGAAGTGTATCATTGCAGAAGGTCAGTACATGGCCGGGCACCTGTGCACCATTGATGGACCTGATATCCTTGCCCTGGGCATTCTCGCACCAAACTCCGCCTCCTGAGAAGTCGGACATTTTCAACACATAATTATCACAATGGGCATTAGCCACATCCTTGTGAAAACCTGACGGGACATTGTCCAGTATGGCAATGCTTGAGAAGATGGCATCTGGCTGCAACTGGCGCACGTACCTTGTTAGGACCTCGGTACATGCTGGAAGACGTTTGCACGCAGAGCGTAGACCCACAATGCCGCCTTTGCGATAGGCTGACCCGCACGCAGCGGAATGTGGTTCCTCCCGCGGCAAAAGATGAATAAAGTCCAAGACTTGGTGTTTCTCCACACGATCCTGAGTGAGCAAGTGAAGTGCGGTAGGAGAGGCCTTCTGAGGGGCCGTGCATCACACACTTGCGGTGTGACTGTGCATGAAGAATGGTCGCGGCACACATCAGCAGAGTTGAGGTCTAGTCAACTCTTCGGGTGATCAATCATGCGGTGACTGCCATAGCAAATTGCACACACATGCTTGCCTTTCGTGCATGCATCACCCAACTTACACTCCCCAAGTGAGTAGTCAAAACAGATGCGAGATCCGTCGGGCGTTTCGGCTGTTCCGCCCTTGCTGCGTATGCCCCGTGGGATCTTGATCATGCTGCGGGCCTTGCCCTTGCCCTTGCCCTTGCCTTGACCCTGACCTTTTGAAGTGCCCTTAGGTACTTTCGGGGCGCGGTCTGGCCAAGACTCTTTGCGTTTTGGCGGCTGCTGAGGCAGAGGCATCAACTCGAAGCTCACATCATAGCTTTCCAAAGTAGCCTGCAACTGGGAATCTAAAGGCAGAGGATCTCCGGGATTAGGCCGAGGTTTCACATTCTGTTCGATAAGACGCGACCAACAAAGCCGGTCGGCTTCGACCAGTTGGCGAATCGTACACTTTAAATATCCAGGTTTTGCTTCGCGGTGCAAGTGGTGAAAGAGGGTATTGAGATACCGCTCATAATTCGGCCAATGAATGAGATTGGCAAAGCAAAGCGCAAGGCCCCGCCTCCTTAGTGCATCAAACACGGCCATGGCGCCATTGGTGGGAGCTTCCACGGGATCTGCGGCCTCCTTGATGACAAGCTTGCTGGCTTCAATGTCCACTTGCTATGTGATTGGTTTGGACTGTGCCACCTCACACAGCCGTGACACACACTTCTCAGGTGCCAAGTAGACAATTTGATTGGATGCCTCAATGCGAGCTGCTGCATCGAGCAAACACCTTGCTGGTTCAAGATGCCCTTCGACGGTGATTCCTGGAAGAGAGCGTCTCAAGTTCTCGAGTCTCACATCGCGCTCAGCCTCCGGCATTTTCTGTTTGCTAGACGCGTCCGGATCACTCACTTGGAGTCGCAAGGATGCGACTGTCAATGTCTGACTTTCAAAAATCAGACGGCGCAGGCTGCTGATTTCTTGTATGGAGAAGCTAGCAAAGTGAGTGCTGCAGAATGTTGCAAAATCTGCCTCCGGCATAGGCACCCCCGGTTGGGAGACCATGTAAGCGATTTGGCTCAGGGTCTTGAACCCTCTATTTTTCAGGACAGCAACATTGGGATCTGTGATCCCGGCTGCCTTGGCTTTGCGCTCAAAATGAGCTTCTGAGTCGAGAACGGACACCATGGCTCGAGGACTTCCGCGTCCAACCTAACGAAACAGCATTGCTCAGAGCGAAGCCCAAAACTTGCAATGCATATACCCTCATGCTGCAATCAAGACATCTGGTTGAATGCAAAGACATCAACTGGCGGTTGGTTTTCATCAAACATTTTTCGCCCACAAGGCCTCGCCCTTCGAGTGAAGGAGCATGTCAATCAAAAACATCAAACATTTCAGCGGCAACGTGTGCCGTAGTAGTACGCACATTTGCAGTACAACATACATCTCCAGCGGAACTGGATAGGGCCAAGTGCCCCTTGTTGCCGGAGTCACATTTCTCAGTAATGTGCACATCGCACTTGTCCCTGAGGGGGGACAACTTGGAGACATCCTCCATCAGCACTGACATAGCGCACATTCGCATACCAAAATTAAAGTTGCCTTCGGCAAGTTAGACACACCCGACCATCAAGGTCCGTGTCCACTACGGACCGGAACTGAGAGGAAATAGCACGGCCGCAGCTTAACATGCGCTCACCATACTTTAGATGCAACATGCCGGACTTCACATGAACCACCCAGCGACCCTGAGAGTTCTGCACCTCGTTCCGAAGAGCAGGATCACCTTTCAGCTTCTTCCGGGATGGCAATGGGGCGCAAGAAGAGTCGCTACTTGAAGATGAGCTGCAGCTATTTTCAGGGGCCGAGGCATCAGAAGTCGACTCAGCTTCACAAGGTTCGTGGGCACCAGAAGGACTAGGGCTTGCCGCTCTGACGGGGGCCTCAGGCAGGCGCGCTGACACATTGGCCTCGCTAGGTGTGGCAGGCTCCGGTACACGCTCCACTGGAGGGAACTTCCAAAACTTGGACCTGGGCTCATCCGGCACAAACTCACCTGTGGCAATGTAGCGCAGCAAAACTTCGAAGCGCTGGACCGCCCCGATTGACAGGTCGTACGAATACACCGCCTCTGTACCCCTGACACTATCACTATGATGGCCAAGGACACACTGATCTTCTTTGGTCATGCCGTATTTGCCGACCCAAGACAGGTGTGTGTGCTTAAGGGAATGTGAAGTAACCTGCCGACTCTCGACATTGAACCCTTTGGAGGTCAAGAAGATTTGCAAGAATGTGGACACTTCACCTGTAGTAACAGGTCTGCTGGCCAACGCACCATCACGCCTGTAAGGGCTTAACAAAGGCTTATCTTGCCGATCTTCAAGGTGAATCCCCAGCTCATCAAGAACCTGCCAAAGTTCATTCCCAAAAGGGAGGCCATCAACTCCCGTCAAAGGTACGATCAAGGGGAGTAACACCCTCTTCTTCTGAGAGAGATTCGATGTCTTGTGCCACCCGACCCTAAGCACGAGGTAGCCACTTCCGTCGGCCCCAACATCCCAAGTTGCATCATGAACTGAATCCAAGTCAGAGACCCGACATCGTGCATAAATGCACACCAAGCAAAAGAAAGCAAGAGCTCGGTCCATAACCTGTGCCTCGCAATCCTTAGAGAAAATGCGCAGGGCCTGGCACTCTGACACAAGAAGGGGATCGGCTTGCTGCAAGAAAGTCTTGGTTGCCTGCATCTGCTCCGAGGATCCCACACATCTTCGCGAAATAATGTCAGCGGCTCCCTGGAAGTCTAGTACGTAATGCGCCCACCTAAGGGCCGAAAGTACATCTCCCGCTTACGATGTCTTCCCTTCAGCCTGCAGGCGCTGAAAGAATCTCCACAGCGTGGCCTCTGAGAAAATGCAATCCGGACTGCACCCAATGGAGTCAGACCACCTTATGAACCCCAGGAGGGCATTAGCTCTTTTAAGAATAGTGCCAGGCGCCTTAGTGCCAAATGACGCACGCAGGGAGTCGACATGATCCTGTGTGGCGGGCGCCGGATCCGAAGCATGAAACCTCCTGCAAACAATCTCCCACTTAGAGAAAGCCTTGTCAATTTCAAAGGCACGTTTTTCAAGAAAGTCCTTATCAGACCGGTTCTTGAAAGCTTTTGAGAAAAATGCATTCCCGGGAGGCAGTTCGGGGGGCCTATGCTTTCTCACACAAGGCTCATTAGTAGAGGGTTGCAGATCAGATCCTATGGGCACAGGCGCATGCAGGGAAAGACTTTCCAACGGATTATCCCCAAAGATGTGACCCATTATGCCTTGCTCCCAAGGGAGGAGAGGCACATCACCAAGAATAGAACCGGAAGAGAACCCCCCATTACCCGCCATGCTAACCCAAGGCTGCAAGATCTAGGCTCTGCTCGCAAGCGTGGACGCGGTGCGCAAGTTGGTCAACTTCTAGGCGGCCCAGGGCCGCTTGATACCTTGCCTCCTGTGCTACACGAGCAGTGCTGGAGAAATGACTTTCGGCAACCCGAGTCTGCTCCTCAAGCTGCCCCAAACGCTCACTCAATTGAAAGATGATGTGCTCCAAGCTAGCAAGGCGGCGCTCCAGGTTGTGCACGTGTCTACTAATCAAGGACACACTTGAAGGGTCCGAGCTATCGGATCCCGCCTCTGACACGCGCGTCGCCCCAAGCGCCGGGCAACGCGTGCGGAAAACGCGGCCTAACGCCGCAAGCTGGTGTTTACCGGGGTTCCCAGGACCTCTAGCAAAGCAAGACAGGGATCTCTAGAAGGCCCAGACCGCAAAATTTTTCTGGCTGAGAGCCTCACACTGCACGCATAACCATAGTCATGATCAAAGCAGGAATACGCGGAAGTGCTTACTTAAGGGGGCAGCTTTTGTTTTTGGGAATGCCTAGAAAATTGGCTCAAACGAATTTTGTGCACCAAACAAAATTCAACACCAACTCAACAATAAAACATGATCCCTTAGGCAGGGACGGCATGCTTAGCGGTAGTTTAATTAAATTTCAATTGATTGTA